GGCCAGGAGTTTGCACGTGGCGGTGGTTTCCCTGGAGTCACATGGGAAGCAGGCAAGGAGGGAACCTATCACTTTCACTGATAGGGATCTGCCCAGGACGGGGGGAGATCATAATGACCCTTTGGTTATTACAATGGACATCAATGGAGCTGATGTGGCCAGGGTCCTGGTTGACACAGGAAGCAGTGTCAATGTTCTATACTTGGATGCTTTCAAGAAATTGAAGTTGGACAGGTCCATATTGAGACCGTTGCAAACTCCATTGTCAGGCTTCACTGGAGCTAGCATAGAAGCGGAAGGTCAGATCACCTTACCAGTTACCTTGGGGTCGGGTAACAGGACAGTGACCAAACAAATGAGATTTGTTGTGGTCAACATCAAGTGTGTGCATAATGCCATTCTGGGTAGGCCTGGGATCAACCAGGTCAGGGCTATTATTTCCATGGCACACTTATGCATGAAGTTTTACACTCCCAATGGAATCGGGGAGGAAAGGGGTGATCAAAAGAACGCCCGGTCCTGCTACCTGGAAGCAGTGAAGAAGATGACCCGCTAGTTCGAACAAATTGAATTGGTCTCCCAGCAGGTAGACAAGGGTGAGGAGAAGGCTAGGATCGAGCCGGATGCATACACGGAGGAGATCCAGATTGATGCCTCCAATCCTGAGAGGAAGGTCAAAATTGGGGCTGACCTTCAGGAAGAGCTAAGGACTGAGATTGTCCAGGTGTTGACCAGGTATAAATCATTATTTGCCTGGAGTGTTGCTGATATGCCCGGGATTGACCAGTCAGTCATTTGCCATCGTCTCTCTGTTCTTGAGGGGTCTAGGCCTGTAAGACAGAAGAAGAGATTTTTGGCAAGTGATAGGAGGGACTTTGTGAAGAAAGAGGTCAAGGACCTACTTGAAGTAGGTCATATCAGGGAAGTAAACTACCCTGAATGGCTGGCCAATGTAGTCCTGGCTCTGAAGGGCGATACCTCGAGGATGTGTGTAGACTACACAGACCTCAACAAGGCATGCCCAATGGATTCTTATCCTCTCCCCAGCCCGGACCAAATGGTTGATGAAATTGCCGGGTGTGAGTTGCTCAGCTTTATGGATGCCTTCAAGGGGTATCATCAAATCTTCATGGCGGAGGATGATGAGGAGAAGACGGCCTTCCTCACTCCGGACGGCACATACTGTTACAAGGTGATGGCCTTTGGGTTGAAAAACTCAGGGGCAACTTACCAGAGAATGGTCAACAAATTGTTCAGGCCTTTGCTTGGACGGACCATGGAGGCCTATGTCGATGATATGCTGGT